GCCATGCCCTCCTGGCTGGACTGCAGCGACACGGACAGTCCCAGAGAGAGAAAAGGACGTCCTGGTGACACGCAGACACCAGAGCCAGCTGGACCCTCCCCCAGACTTGTGCTCTTTCACCCGAGTCAACTCTCACTTTCCCGACGTGCTCCCTTGCCCCTCCCCCAAACCCTTCCTAACGCTCCTTTAAGCTTGTTTCATTCTGGGGCTGCCAGAACTTGGAAATAATTGAGTTATCCCCGCCACCTCCCCGCCCTGCTGCCGCTGCAATCATCCCCAATTTCCTTTCCAAACCTTTGATCACTTGCTGGCTTGTGGGGCATTGTGGCACTCTGCACAGGACAGTGTATTCTAATCATTAATCTGGGGTAGAACTGGGAATGGTACCAAAGTTTTTTTTTTTTTTCATTCTCAGGCCAACTACCATCTCCTGTTGGTTCTTCTAAGCGTTTGGCAGGGGATAGAATTAACTAATACACATTTTTAAAAGACCAATTGAAATGTATGCATCTTGGTATATACCAGCAGATGGTTTGTAGGTGGTTATATTTTCTTGCATTTACTGTAGGTTTAGAATTGGGTTGTGAGTGAAATGGGGTGGTCTGACCCTGTGGTGGGTTGCGGGCACCCTTGGAAAGCAGGAACCCCCACTTTAGCTTCTCCCATCAAATCTTCCTTCTTCCCAGTTGATTTGGCGATGAATTTTAAGGCATGGGCACCTGCCCTTCCGGCAATTTCTTGGAAACAGTTATCAGTGTTTGTTTCCTGACTCCTAGCAGGCCTCTGGGGTGCAGCTATTGTGTTTAAGTAAACAGGCCACTTGCCTATTCAGCTGGCAGCTTGATGGATGCCCACGCCTAGATCTTGTCAAATCACTTTGTGGTTGAGCGGCTGCCAGGCCTAGAGGTGGTGAAACTAGCTGGATGGGGATAATGATGGCTGCTGCAGAAGCCTTCCTGGACCGAGGGCGGTGGGCAGAGTTCGGGACCCAAGGTGTGACTATAAAGGCACGGGTGGCCCAGATCCCCAAACACCTGTTCCCCCACCTCCCCTATCCGTGTGGTGGGTGCTGGGGAGAGTTGGTGTTCCCTCCATGTAACAGATGGTCCCTGCACTCAGGAGGAGGCAGTGGGTTATGAAAGCAGGTTGGATATAACGGTTTTACCTGAAGGAGGTGTTAGTCTCTAAATAACCATGAGTGGGCTTATAGGAATTAGTCATAATTGAGGTTTTTCTCTGAGATAGCTTGCAGTCATGTTATCTTATGACCAGGGTGTCTTGAATATGACACCCCCTGAACATGGATAATTATATAGTACCAAAAGGTATAGAAAGTGCATGCACATACTCAAGTTTTACTGTTAAAAATAATCCAGCAGAGGCCTGTGAGAACACATGACTTTCCCCAGCAAAGTTGTTAAGGAAGAGGTTTCTAAGTTACCAAACTTACTGACAGTTAAACCTTCCTGAGGCATGCGTGGGTGTTGCAAGCCAAGCCTGTGATAATTCTGCAGAAGCTGTGGCAAATTAACGGCCATTCCACCAGCCGGGAGGGTGGGCAGAGAGGGGCGTGGGCTTGCCTGTCGAGCTTATCTTTGGCAGAACAGTTGGACAGTTATGACCTTCCCAAGCCTCCCCAAGCGCAAGTGCAAAGCTGCTTCATTACCAGAAAAAGCCTTGAGCACTTAAGGGGGAAAACGATGTTCTTCACAGTTGATCAGAAAAAAATAGATGAAATTAACAAGGGAGGATGGGCAGGCTTTTTTGATGCCAAAACTTTGCTAAAGCAAAAACTCCTGAGCTGCTAGCAGCCAGACTGGGTGTGAAAGATGAGGGAGAAGTGGAGGATGGGAGTGGAGAGAGACTCAGGCTGTGAGTAGAACGGGGAAAACATAGAAGCCTTCAAATAAGGGCAGCTAACTTTGCCCAAGATTTTGAACTGAGCAGGACATCGGGAATATATAGGGATGTGGTGTTTTATTTGGTTGTGGTTTAGCGGAGAGGAAGAGGATATTACTTCCTAAAATGAGGCAACAGTGGTAACATGCACAGAATGGTAAGATTCGAATACAAAGCCTGCGGGGCTTGAGTTATATTGTTCAGGATTGTGTGATGAAGGGAGCTTGGAGGAAGTGAATTTGAGGTAAGTAAAAGTGCGGAATTAGAAGGGAAGTGATCGACTCAGGAATTTTTTAGTATTTTTTGAGGGAACTGCATAGGCAGGAGGTAGCTCATTGAAATCCACCTCCTGGCATTTCCGTGCAGAGGACAGGGCAGGCCTGAGTCTCAGGATTCACCCAGCTGGTTAGCATTGACTGGGCTAGACTCACCAAGGACACCCTGAGGAAAAGCTCTAATGCAACAGGCAAGACTTTTGGACCCAGAATAATCAAAAGCACTAAACAGATAACCAAAAGCAAAAAGAAAAAAAATAAGTAGTATTTAATTAAGCCCCTACTATGCAACAAGCCTGGTGCTTCCTGCCTTACCTGCATTATTTCACGTTACTATCCTTATGTTATAAACGAAGAGACTAGTGTTCGAAGATATTTAAATAATACCCCCAAGGTCATATAGCTAATTTGATAGATGGTAAGTTATGTGCCAAAAAGGTAGAGTTATTACCCCACAGTCCCACAACTAGCTGGTGGCAGAGCCTGAAATTGAACTCAGGTCTTGTGACTCCTGGTTCTGTGTCCTTTGCATCCAAAGATGCTGTTTCTTGAGGACCACAAGGTACTAGGAAGTCACCAGAAAGTCTTTGGAAGGCTGGGATACGCCTGGTCAGCTTGTGAGCAGAGAAACAGGAGTCACAGTGGTAGTCAGGATCCAGGGCGGGGCAGGGAGCCCAGAAGGATGTCTGTAGTGTTTGGGGAAAGATGTTACTGGAGATTGGGAGGAGGTGGTGGTAATGGCGTTAGCGAAGGGCCCAACAAGATGGAAGAGGTGTCTTGGCTTGGCAATATGGGGTCTGCCCAGAGAATGCTCCCACCTCCCCCAACACTTCAGTTCATTGTTTCCGGTGGCCTTACTAGCACTCGGTGCACCTGTGGGAGATCCAAATGCAGAGGCCCTCAGGGTGTCCAGACGGTAGCTGGGAAGACAGAAAGGTGAGCAGCCAGCAGAGAGACAGGGTGTGATGTGCTGGGAGAGGGCCAAGACTGGTCCTCAAGAAGCAGCTTGTTTGGGTGCAAAGGACACAGGACCGGGTGTCACGAGACCTGGGTTTTATTTCATGCTCTGCCACCAGCTGGCTGTGTGACCATTGGGCCAATCACTCTGCCTTGCTGGCTCATAAATCCATAGAATTCGCATGTGCCCAGATTCCCCTTTGGAGTTGGTCTGGGGTAGGGTTCAACAAATTATGGCCCACGGGCCACATCCAACCCACTGCATTTGTGTGTGGGTGGCTTGTGAGCTAAGAATACATTTTACATTTTTAAATCGTTGAAAAAAAATCAAAAGAACATTTTGTGACATATGAAAATTATATGAAGTTCAGATTTCAGGGTCCATACGTGAGGTTTTATGGAAACATGGCCACACCATTCCTTTACGTACTGTACGTGGCTCCTTTCACACTGCAAGGGCAGAGTTGGGTAGCCGACGATACCTACTGCCGGGCTCTCTACGGAAACGGGCTGTTGACCCCTGGTCTGGAACGCCCCTGTGAGTTCCGGCAAATGGCCAGATCAGCAGTGCGGCCACCCTGCTCCTCTCCCCGAACCCCTGATGACAGAGTTAGGGCAGTGGAGGGGTATTGTATTAAGTGATCTGTGCAGAGCCCCCTAACAAGGCCAAGTGAAAAGGCAGAAGGAGGAAATGAAGCTAGGGCACGCTGTGAGCAGATGGAGAGAGGGTGACAAGAAAGGACTGAGGGAGAAAGGAAAAACGGGGACCCCAGAGGGTGGTTCTTCTCTGGTGACTATTGTACCAAGGAAGATGGCTTGTCCCTTGTTGAGGGAAGCTCTGTAAAGGGAGTGCAGGGAGAAGCTTGTTGGTCCCCCCACCTCAGCTGTGAGTGAGGCTGAGCCCCATCTTCCTGCCGAGTTCACGTGACAGGGTCGCTTTCACTCTTGAGCAAAGGCGGCTGCTGGTAACACTCCTGACTAGGCCTCGTGTCTGTGGGACAGTACAGGCCACCCTCGTAGGGAGGGGTCCCCACCCAGGGAGCCGGCAAGTTCCCTGGAACATGCCAAGCTCTGCCCTGCTTCAGGACTCCAGCCTGGCTCTCCCTCCCTGCCGCTTTTTCTCTAGATCAGGGGCGGGCAAACTGCGGCCCTGGGGCCAAATCTGGTCCATGCCCTGTTTTTGTAAATAAAGTTTTGCTGGAACACAGCCACGGTGGTTTGTTGAGCCTGTCGCTCATGCTGTTTTCGTGCCGCAGTGGCAGAGTTAAGTAGTTGCGGCAGGGACCTCGGGGCTCCCAAGGCTGAAAATATTTATGGAAATAGTTGGCCAGCCCGTGCTCTAGATTGTAACATGGCTTGTTCCTTCTCATCATTCTGGTGTCAGCTGAAAGGCCCCTCCTCATAAGAATAAGAATTAAGTGGTATAGCTCTTAGAATTTTCTGGTAGGTTTTCTGGTCTTTACCGGAAACCCCTGCCCTCAAGAGAGTAAGAATTAGTCCCCCACCTTAGTCACTCTCAAATGCAAAAGTTTTCTTCGTAGGAGTTATTACTCTTTGAAAATATCTGTTTACTTGTGGATTTAACCCCTGTCCTTCCTCACTACAATCATTTAAATTGCAGTGACTTTGGTTCACTGATGTATTTCAAGTGCCTAAAATGAATGAATGCATGAATGCGTGAATAAATGAACAGCTGCTGGCATCCCTCTCCAGATGCCAGAATCCAGAGAGAGGGCCCCTCGGGCTGGGGCCCATTGGTGCTTATTCTGGGCATTTGGGAAATGGATGGCCTGGGTCCAGCAGTCCCAGGAAGTTTAACCCACAGCCTCCTCTGTTTTTTTCCTGCTTCCTTAGGGGTCTTGAGAAGCAATGGCCACAGAAGCCCCTGTGAACATAGCACCACCTGAACGCAGCGCTGCTGTCAGCTCCACGGCCGACAGCTTTGTTTGGCAGCCAAACTCACTAACCATGCACGTCACGAGGCCCAAGTCTGCCAAGGGACGGACACGGCCGAGACTGCACAAATCCCAGGGCACAGAGGTGTGCTCTCCCCAAATACCGTCTTCTCCGCCTCCAGCCATTCCCTGTGAGTTGCCAAGCAGCCAAAAGCCAGTAGCTTGTGCACCCAAATCTCCAAAACAGGGAGCTTTGGATGAGATCCCTGAGTCGCTGCTGCAGCAAGTGCCTCATGGGGCTTCCTCTTCTCTCAATAAATACCCCGTCCTTCCTTCCATCAGCAGGAAGACCCTGGAGGAGGGGGCTGTGGAGACAGTAGCTGAACAGGCCAGCTCACTGCAGCTGAGCAGCATCCGCGCTCTTTTCCAAAAGGAGACCTGCACCTCGAAGACAAGTGAGGAAGCTTCCAGAGCTCCTGCTTGTGCCTTGGAGAGGAAATTTGTCGTGCAAACCAAGAGACAGGGCTCCTCCAGGCCCAGAAACCTGGAGGAACCATCAGACCAAGAACCAAGGCTGCTGCTTGCCGTCAGATCACCATCAGGCCAAAGGTTTGTGCGGTATTTCCGGCCAACTGATGATTTGCAAACCGTTGTTGCTGTGGCTGAACAAAAGAACAAAACCTCCTATCGACACTGCAGCATCGAAACCATGGAGGTGCCCAGGAGACGTTTTTCTGACCTCACCAGATCTCTGCAAGAGTGCAGAATCCCCCACAAGTCGGTGCTGGGCATCTCACAGGAAGACGTGGAGGGGCGGCCCTGAGTCCACAGCCACCCGGCTGGAGTCCTGAGCAAGGAGCATGCTTGGGTGCTGTGGCTTCCCAAGCAGCCCAGTTCCAAGTGCCATATGGACCTGGTGCAGCTGGGATCCCTGGGACTTTTGTCTCCACAGCATACCCTTTGAAGCAGCGACATCTGCACCTGTGCCGAGTGCGCTAAGAAGACTCCCCGCTGTTCCATTCTCTCCACCACAGGAGTGAACTGCAAGTTACCCAGGCTCTTCCTAAAACAGCTGTGGCCACAACTTCTCCTCTCCAGAGTTTTGGGTCCTTCTAAAACCATGGTCCCTTCTGGAGCACCCATCTGCTTTTGCAAGGAACTCTGATTCTCTCAAAGCCAACGGTTTGCCTTTCTATACCTAATGGAGGATTAAACACGTCCCAAGAGGATTCTATTCTGGTAAATAACCAGGGTGTAAGAAATATCTAACTGGCATTTGTATTTCTTGCAAGTATCGTTAAGAAACGGGCAGTTGACCCTGTCTTTGGAAGCAGCCCCTTTGCTGGGCTTTGGTGGTTGGAGTTTCTTGGGGATTGCTATTTGTGTGAGGTGGCATCAAAGAGAATGGGTCTTCTTCTGCCCCAACATCTCAACATTTCTAGAATAGTCCTAGAGCTTCCAAGGCAATGGATGTGCAGAATTGTTCTAAAACTGAGAAAAGCCAATGTAATCTGATTTCTTTTGCTTTTGTCAGTAATGGAATCTTTCGTTTTTAAAGTGCACAAAGGTGTAAGTCTGTGCGGGTTTGTGCTAAGGGCCCCCTGGGCTTAGCTGGGTGTGGATCGATCGTCTCATCCCCCGGTTTCAGCGTCTCACCTACTTCACACACGAAGGTCCTTTGGAGCAATGACAGCGGCGCCCTGTTCTCTGATTTAGAATCTTCTGGAGGAGGAGGAGGGGCCTCAGGTTGGTGTCACTTTGCTGGGCGCTGAAAGACCGTGTGCACAAGTGCCTGGTTGCCTGGCATGAAACGCATCTGACTGCTTTATCCCGTGCTGCTGTGAAGGCCACGCAGTCTTGTTTTTCCAACTCCGAGGTGGCGACGTGGACAATTTGCCAAAGTGCTCCCGTATTGCAAGCGCAGCCAGACTCCCACGGCTCACCCGGATCCCCCGTATGGCCAAGTCGTCATTCAGAGTAGGGAACACTCAGACATTCTGGGCACCGTGACCCCCAGGGCCCGGCCATCACAAAGCCCTGAGTCCTGGTACGTGCCTCCACCTCCTAGGTACACAGAGACGGCAGGAATCAGGACTTCTAGAAGCCCATCCATGTTGCTACCTCAGCAACAAGTGCATTTTGTGCACAGATAAGGCATGCGGGTAGAAATGTTACTTCTAGCACACTGATGCTTAGCAGTGGAGATGAACAGCACCGCCATTTGCTGAGAAGAAGGCTTGCCTTGTCCTGACTGCATCCCACACCACGCAGATCTCTCGGAATAGGTTAGTTCTGAATATTTTACAACATTTGTTCATACCATCCTGGTTTGGTCAGCCGCTCCTTTGGAGAGGTCAGCTGGGGCCGGCAGTGCCTTGGGCAGGCCCGCACGACTGGTCACCTCTTCTAGTTACTGACCACAGCGGGAGGACTTGAGCCTGGCACCTACAGTACAGGAATTTCCCCGCCCACCAGGACTCAACCACGCATCTCTGCCTCTGATCTCGGAGGCTGGGGGAAGAGCCTCCCATAAAATCACACCTACTCTGTGGTAAGAATAAAATCCCACCCACCTGGGACTTGGTAATTTTTCCAGATGGGGAAAGCTTTAGAAAACTTGAGTGACATGGAGCACGCTTGAAGGAGTTAGAATCTTCTGCACTTAGGAGTTTGTTGCTGCTATTTAGCTTAGAATTTTGGGTGGTGAAAAAAAATGGAAGGCATGAAACATAGAAATATCTTAGGATATTTTAGGATATATGAATAAAGCTAGATTTGAACCATCATAAATAAACTTTTTTTTTTTTGGACAAAAGATGATGATACTAACAATAAAAACCAATTTGTGTGAAACTGGGTGGAGAAGTACCTCTTGTATTTTAGCCTAAGACTCCAGCCACCACACACGACCGGACAGAGGGGTATGTTAACCTGATCTTCAGGTTTCTCCCTGGGAAAGCACTTGTCGTACTGTTAGAACCAAGTCCTCCTCCCCAGACACTGCACAAAGCCCGCTGCTCCTGCTCTCAGCTTCTGTCATAGCACTTAGCTTGTCTGTATGGGAAGAGTCTTCTGAATTTTTCCTAAAAATCATTCCAAGTACTCCAGTTTGGAGGATTGGCAAGCACAGACTGTATCAGTATTCAGAGTTCTTGATGGTTGTGCATGTGGTGTTGCACTTAGGCGCCTTGGGCTACATGGACTCAGCTGGCCCAGCACACTACTCTTGGTGGCCCTGGGTGGACCAGCCTTGCCCACTTTGTGGGCACAGACCCCAATCATTCATTTTGCCAATGGTCATTGAGGGCCTACCTGCCACACTTGGTGATAAGCATTGGCACCCTAGCAAGAGAGTATTGGCAAGAAAATATGGAACCAACACTGGATGCTCAACTCAAACCCTACTGCAGTCAGTGGCTATAGCTTTAGCCATGAAGGACCCAGAGTGAGGCTCACACTATTATCATTACTGGATCATCTCCCCACCTTCTGGAAATGCGAGGGAAACTCTTGCCCATCTTTTCCGGTGATGGCAGTAGGAAGACTGCTCATTAGGAATATGAACTTTGCATAGGACAAAGCTTCATGATAAGTTATTCCAGTATATTCCCTGCTGAAGTCCAATAGGTAAATTAGTCTTGGCAGCAGAAGGAACAGCAGTAGAAATAAGTGACTCATCATCTAGAATCCAAAAAATTTGCACCAACAGATGGCAGGTGGTTTTAACACAACAGTCCTTGCCCTGAAAGTACCTGGGGACCCAGCCAACAGCCGTCAAGCCAGTGCAGTCCTGCAGAAGAGATGGCCTGTGAACAGAACTGCGGGCCCAGAGCTCCCACACAAAATGCTTCCCAAACTGAGAGCAGCCTTGAGGCATACCATTCCAGTTAATAACCTTACAGACTAGGGACAGATCACCCGAATTTCAAAAGCAGGCATCTGAGGAACTAAACTTTGCTTTTGTTCATGCTCTTACCTGCCATTTGAAATGGGATTCTAATGTCAAATGAAGCCATCTTGCCCCATGGGGCAAAGAAGTTTCTTTTTACACAATTTTTTATTAAGGTCCTCTTAATAAATTGAGATAAAAGCATCCCTGGTTTCCTGTGGTTGGGACATATTTTCGATTAGCCTTTTGTATGGCAGGAGGTCTGCTTTTCTACCTTTTAAACAAAATCACAAAGAAAACTGTATTATTTTGCTATTGCATTAGTTAAAAGTCATTCTGAGAATCCAGCAGGAACATGTTTCATTAGTCCACTCAGCAACGCACCATAATAAAGTTCCAAGTTCACAAGCCCATTCACTCTCACCCTGAAACCGGAACCAACCAAACCCACCGTATAAGCAGGGAGAGTCAGAGACCACTGCAGAGGAGTTAGCAATCAAAGGACAGCAGACTTTTGGTGACTCAGTTACCAAAGTAACTTACACACAAGACAGCAGCTCACATGATAAAAATAAAATTGGGTGTTTTATTTTTTGTCTACACTGGTGACGTGCCGTTTTCCTTTCCTGATTAGGGAAGTTGCTACCAGCCCTTTCTGATGTTCATCTGGGTTCCTTCACATTCAGACAGTTTAGGAGCAGTAGCACTCCTGAACAGCTGACACGGAAGAACATATCTTGGGAGGTATTTTTGGACACACTTAAATCCTACCCCAAGAGGCTGAATGGCTGATGTGACAAGTGCCAATGGATAAAATTAAGCAAGCCTCATTCAGGCTGCCCTGCTCAGAGGCGCACTCTGGCTGCTGTGTCGAGAGTGGACTTAGGGGCCGGGTGGAAGACGGAAGACCAACTACTGAAGGTGTGACAGTAACACCTCTCACCTAGGGACAGATCGCCCAGGTGAGAGGTGATGGTGGCTGGGGCCAGAGACTTCATGAGTGGTGTTCTGATTCTGGATATATTATCCATTTTCTTAAGGAAAAAAGAAAAGGAGGGTAGTTTGACAAGTTGGGATTTGCCCAAGTAGATTTAGCTTAACCAGTATCGCCAATGGGGGCTGTTCCTGCAAAAATAAACAAGCAAACAAACATGACAGCAAGAAAACATGCAGGCAGGGGAAGGACACTGACCAGCAGCTGCATTCACGTGAAGGAAATGCATGAATGTTTTTGGACAAAGTGTGCAGAGAAAAATCAAAGCTATTAATTGCTTTAATTAAGAAGAGATAAAACCAAAAAGGTCACTATTTCACTTAATGTTTAGGTCTAAGTTAAAACTAATTCCCATCTAACTCTAGGGGTGCGATTACTGTCCAAGGTTACATAAGAAGCAATCTTTGTTCCAATTAAACACATTGTTTATCTCTATCTCCCCTCCTTTGTCCCTCCCTTTCTTGCTGTCCTTCATTCCATTTATTCCAGTCCAGCAGCTGATTTGGGATGCATTTCCCCTTGGGAGGGCAAACAAAACCACTGTCCAGGGGCCTAATTAATAAAGCCCCTAGTTTCCTAAGTTTCGCACCCACCTCTTGTTTACAATGAGGGGATCTGTGCAGGGGGGCCTTGGTCCTTTTTGCAACCAGCTGAGAATTGCATCTGATCTCTCCGACATCTGTCCTCTCTGATGGGACATGTGGGCGCCACAGGTCCACTCTGGTTGGTGAGCACCTCCAACAGATGGCCTGGGTCTGCTCTAGTCCTGGCCCACTGGTGACAAGAACAACCAGCCAGCTGCAGACAAACCCTGGCAGAACGGCTGCAACTCCACCCCTCCCAGCTGCGAAGTATAGTCCGGAAACTGTCTGCTGCCCCCACCCTAGCCCCTGCATCCAACCCTGGGGAACTGCAGATGTCATCCCATACCAGACTGAAG